TTTTTTTTTTCCAAAGTTTTTGTTATTTTTATTATTATTGTAATTTATTTTACGTTTTCCCACTATTTTAAATAACTTTAACTTTTTTTGCAGTTGACTTAAATAGTTATGAAATTTAACAAATTAATTAAAAAAATCTACCAGGTTTATCATCATTAACTAAAACCATAAAAACGTTTTGTACTTAAAAAAAAAAGTTTTAGTAATTGAAAATATTAACAAAAAACAAAAGTACTAATATTCCTTGTAGTCTCCAAATGAATGAGGTCATAACTTAGAAAAAAAAGAATGTAAAACAGACAGGCGTATATACGTGTATCAGACTGTTTAACATTAAATGCAGTCATGCAGAAAATACAGTATAACCGTTATCAATATTTGCATGTCATCAACATCTTACAGAGTTTGAATTTGGCTGGCAAATGAAAGAGAAGGACGATAAAAGTGTGTGTAAGCGTGTTTGTGTGCATGTCTGCTCAGACCAGGTCTTTCAGGATTAAATCTCCCGCATGCCAGCGAGACAAAGGACGACTTCAGTTTTACGGACTTAACAAACTCGCCATTCAAAGGAGGAATGCACGCACACACACGCAGAGAGCCAAGCTGAAAAATGTCCAGTTGTTGTGATCAAAGCTGCAAAGCTGAGCATAGAGAATATGATGGGGGGCGGAAATAAAAAGAGAGAATTCAACACAGGAGAATTAAATACTTTCCAGTCAAAGGCATTACTCCAATGCTATGATACATACTCTAAAATATGTCTGCAATAAGATTTAGCTCTAGTTTGAGTTATATATCTGACACCTGGGCTTCCTCTCAAACGTCAGCTTCATTCATAACCAAATACACACAACTTCTTTTCTGTATTAAAGACTCATCCGCAGACTCATCCGCTAGACGTTCTACACAACCGGTCCACTTATCCTTTTAGCGACAAAACACACATACCAAAAATAACACTTTTTCATTGTGTAGGTATTCAGCACACTAAAATAGCTATGGAACCCTGTTTTTGGTCTTTATAAGGCAATATACACACTCAACACACGTAATCAGTCAAACAAGCTAATGGACTGAACTAAGAAATCAGCCATTCATTTGTGATTTAAAGAAACAGAAATAAACGTGACAAGAACATTAACATACCAGGAACATGAAAGTGAACATACTATAATCATCTTATTTGACAATAATATTCTTTGGGCATGAAATTAACATTTTCTTTTCCAACAACATAAATTTAGGTTAAATGTTATGTGAATAATTTATATATATATATATATATATATTTGCTTCTTTTCCATTTTGCATTTACTTGTACTTTTACTTTCAATACT